AACTCCAGTTCCAGGGGATCTGACAGCCTCTTCTGTCCTCTGTGGGCATTGCATGACATGGGTGCACTTACCTACATGCAGGCAATACACATGCACATAAATCAAATAAAAATAAAAATAGTGATCTTTCAGTCCTTTTAAAAATACTTTATTATTTTTATTTTATGTGTATGAGTGTTTTGCCTGCATGTATGTAAGTGCACCTGTGCATGCAATACCCAAAGGGGCCAGAAGAGGGCATTGGATCCCCTGAGACTGGAGTCACCATGTGAGTGCTGGGAATCGAACCCAGGTCCTCTACAAGAGCAATCAATGCTCTTAACCACTGAACCCTCTCTCCAATGCCCCCTATTTTTTTACATTTATTTATTTTACTTTAGTGTATGTGTGGACACACATGTCACAGCACAGGTGTTGAGGTTAAAGTGCAGCCTTGTTCTCCCAGAAGTTGCTCTCTTAGATACAGGAACTCCCAGAGGCTTCTTTCTGTAGCTATTGAATCTCAAACATCTTTGGCTTAAATTAATCTTCATAGCAGGCCAGCAAGATGGCTCAGAAGATATAGGTGCTTGCCACCAAGGTCAACAACCTGAATTTGATTCCCAGGACATGGTAGAAGGAGAAAGCCCATTCCCACAAATTGCCCTTTAGAGGCAGGCAGATCTCTGTGAATCCGAGGTCAGCCTGATCTATATAGCGAGTTCCAGGCAAGCTGGGGCTACATAGAGACCCTGTCTCAAAAAGGAAAAAAAAAAAAGAAAGAAAACTGGAAGGAGGGCTGGAGAAATGGCTCAATGGTTAAGAACACTTGTTCCTCTTCCAGAAGACCCAAGTTCAGTTCCTACCCTATATCAGGGGACTCCCAACCATCTGTAACTCCAGTATCGGGGGATCTGATGCTCTTTTCTGTCCTCCTGGACACATGTTGATAGAGAAAGAGAGAGAGAGAGAGAGAGAGAGAGAGAGAGAGGAGACACAAAATAAATTTTAAAATAAATATTTTCTTAAAGAACAATGAAAGGGGCTGGGGATGCAGCTCAGCTGGTAAAGGTAAAGTCTAGCATATATGAAGCCCTGCATTCCATCCCCAACAACACATAAACCAACACTTAGCCAGCTTGGACTACATGAGACCCTGTCTCAAAAAAGGGGGGAGTTGGGTGGCAAATTGGCTCAGTGAGTAAAATAAATCAGATCCCAGAACACAAATGGTAGGCGAGAAATAACTCTTAAAAGTTGTCCTTTGACCTGCACATGGGCACTATAGCATGCACACACAAAATAAGCAAGTAAATTTAAAAAACGAAAAGACTAAAAGCAATGTTCACAATCTCTTATTTCTTGTTCTCTGCAATTCCCTCATGCCTTTCCGAAAGAGACCTACTTGCTTGTACCATGTTACGTACCACAGGTGCCTTTTGTCCCTCCTTCCTCTTTCCTACTATTCCAGGACGTATGCCTCTAACTAATCATTTAGTAAGCTAGTTGATTCTTCTGTTAGCTCCAGCATTTATATAAATCTTTGGGGCGAGTGTCTTCTATTTAAATGTTAATATTGGGCCGGAGAGATGACTATGGTTAAACGCACTTACTACTCATTCAGAGGACCCAGGTATCAGTGGCTAATGCCTGTCCTTACCTTCAGTTCCATGGGATCTGATGCCCTCTTCTGGCTCCCTCAGGCATTGCGCTTACATACATGCAGGCAAAATACTCATACATAAAAAAATAAAAACAATTAAAATATTTAGAAATAAATAAATGTTAATATTAACTTATTAGTTGAGTTTGTTGTGTTGAGACAAGTTCTCATGATGCTATGTAGCTGTGGATAACCTTGAACCTCTGAGTCTAGACTCTGGCATGTACTACACACATGGTGGGAACTGAACACAAGACTAATTTCCTAAATGCTGAGCCTACTGACAGGTGTGAGCCACCAAGTACTTGGCTCTATATAGTTTTGTTTCTATACAGTGAAAATAGAAAAAAAATTGATCTTTTTTTAAGACAAAGAGTAGCCCCAGCTAACCTGGAGCTTGCTATATAGACCAGGCTGGCCTTGAACTCACAGATATTCGCCTGCCTCTGCCTCCCGAGTGCTGAGATTAAAGGCATGCACCTCCATGCCAGGCTCTGAAAACAGAATTTATTTTTATTTTTTGAAAACAGAATTTTAAAAAAATATTTTATTTATTTTTCCTTTATGTGTATGAATGTATTGCCTGCATACATGTGAGTGCACTTATGTTGTGCAATGCCCAAGGAGGTCAGAATATAATGTCGGATCCCCTGGAATTGGACTATGGACAGTTGTTAGCTGCCAGTGGGTGCTGGGAATCGAACCCAGGTCCTCTGGAGGAGCATTCAGTGCTCTTAACTGCTGAATCATCTCTCCAGCCCCCAATACAGAATTTTTATTGCTAGTTAGCAAGCATGGCATTTTTCTGGTCTTTCTGCTAAAGTAACTTTGAATTTTCTACCACTTAGTTGCACTGTTGGAGCTAGATGCATACATAATTGCTCCAGCAAGCTTGCAGTTAAAGACCGGGGTTCCATTCTCAGTACCCACATGGTAGCTAACAACCATCTGTAACTCCAGTTCCAGGAGATCTGATGCCCACTTCAGGTCTCCTCCAGCACTGCATACATGTGCTGCATTTACATACATGCAGGCAAAACAGTCACACGCATAAAATAAAAACAAAAAATTTTTTTAAATGTACAAAGTGGGCAGCACCTGAGAAACAACATCTGATGTTGTCCTCTGTCCTGCACACAACACAGAAGAGAGAGCGAGTGGGAGAGGGCAGTGGAGGAGGGTAAAGAATAAGAACAAAGTGAAATGGAATATATGTATGAAAATGGCATAATGAAACCCCTTTGTATCTTGAGAAGGAGGACATGGGGCAGGGGGAGAAGGAAAAAACTAAAAGGGGGGCAGATGTCCTAGTTTGTTCTTCATTGCTGTGACAAAATATTCTGACCACTACCAACTTGGTGAGGAAAGGGTTTATGCAGCTTACATATGCCAGGTCACAGTTCATCTGGGAGCCCAAGTGTCCTAATCTGTTCTTCATTGCTGTGACAAACACTCTGACCACTACCAACTTGGGGAGGAAAGAGTTTATTTATCTTACATCTCCTGGGTCACAGTTCATCAGGGAAGAACCTATTCCTGTTCCAAGGTAGGAGCTCAGGGCAGGAACCTGGAGGCAGGAGCTGGAGCACAGGCCATGGAGGAATGCTGCTTACTGGCTTGCTTCCCTGGCCCCTGCTCAGCTTGCTCTCTTATCCAACACAGGCCCACCTGCCCAGGGGTGGCAATACTCACAGTGGGCTGGGCCCTTCCACATCACTCAACTATCAAGAAAATGCCCCACAGACATGGCTACAGGCCAGTCCAATGGAGGCAATTCCCCAATTGAGGCTCCTTCAACCCAGGTGTGTCAAGTTGACACTAAAGCTATCCAGCACAGCAGATGATCTTGCAACTGCTTTTTAAAATATTTTGTTTTTATTTTATGTGTATGTGTATTGCATGTGTGAAAGTACACCCGTGTTGTGCAATGCCCGTCGACATCAGAAGATGCTGTCAGATCCCCTCGAACTGGAGTTACAGACAGCTTTTAGCCACCATGTGGGTGCTGGGAACCGAACCCGTGTCCTTTGCAAGTGCTCTTAACTTCTGAGCCATCATTCCAGTCCCGACACCTACTTTATAAAGTGTCCTTAATTCAAAATAGCATGTCAGAGCAGAATATTCTTTCTTCATCTTTTCAGTTTGAAACTCAAAGTCCATTACTATAAAACATGGGCTGAATTGGCTCTAATGATGAGACTAATATGTTTACAAACAAATCTTGAGGTCTCCCCTGCAAGGGAAGCCTAAACCAGGTGTGGTGGTACTATGCATGTGTATTCCAGGTACTCGGGAGGCTGAGATAGGAGGATCTCTTGAGCTTAGGAGTTAGATTATAGGATAAAACCCTGCCTCAAAACAAAACAAAACAAAATCCACAAGTGAAAAAAGGAACGAGTATATGAAAGGAGTGACTAGCTAGCAATATGTTAAGGGCACAGGTGTTTGGGACTTCATGTGTGCTTGTTGGTGAGCCAGGGTCCCATGGTGCTCAAGCTGACTTCAAACCATGTAGCTGAGGATGGTTTTGAGCTGATTCTCCTGCCTCCTCCTTCCAAGTGCTGGGCCTGCAGATGTGCACCACCATTCCCAGTTTATGTGATGCTGGGATTGGAATCCACAGCTTCATACATGCCATACCCTCAAGCCTAGACTTAATTTTTTTTAGCATGTGTATGAGTGTATTGCCTGCATGTATGTGAGTGCACCCGTGTCGTGCAATGCCACAGTGATCAGAAGAGGGCTTCGGATTCCCCTGGAACTGGAGTTAAGGACGGTTCGTAGCCGCCATGTGGGTGCTGGGAATCGAACCCAGGTCCTCTGCAAGAGCAGTCAGTGCTCTTAACCGCTGAGCCATCTCTCCAGCCCCTTATTTTTTTATTTATATATTTTATTTATTTTTGTTTTTTTCAGACACGGTCTCCCTGTAGTCCGAACTAGCCTGGATCTCACTATGTAGCCCAGGCTGGCCTTGAACTCCTAGAGATCTGCCTGCCTCTGCATTCTGAGTGCTGGAATTAAAGGCATATGCCACCAAGTCTGGCAATTTATTTATATTTTATATGTATGAATGTTTTGGCAACATGTATGTAAATGCACCCGTGGAGGCCAGAAGAGGGCGTTGGAGCCCCTGGAACTGGATTTATGGACAGTTGTCAGCCGCCATGTGGGTGCTGTGAACTAAACCCGGGCGCTTAGCAAGAGCAGCTAGAGTCCTCAGCTTTTTGCTGAGCCCCAGGATTTGATTTTTAATTCCCTTTAGAAACTGTTTCAGCTGCCGGTCGGCAGAGGGTGCGCTCGAGCTTGCCGGATGCCTGACGGCCATCGAGGGTCTTTCATCATTTCTCTTCCCGCTTCTACTTCCGCTTCCGAGAAGCAAAGGTCGAGTCACTTCCGGGAGTTCCGCGTGGAGCCGAGCTGCCTGACTCCTTTCAGCATGGCTGTGTTAGCTGGCCCAGCGGAGCCAGTTCTGTCGCTGAATCCACAGGAAGACGCGCAGTTTCGGAAGGAGGTGGCGCAGATCCGCCGGCGTGCGGCCAAGGCGAGTGGTCTGGAAACGGAGGAGGCGGCGGGCCGGGTCTGCAGGGTAGGGGAGGGCGGGCGGAGGCCGAGCCGTGGAAACCGGTCTCCGTTGACCGTGTGCGGCGGACTGAACCAGGAGCCCATCACACGAGCTTGGAGACTAAGCTTTTAGTCAGTAGTTAAGCTGACTGGGAATCACTGCGAGGTTTGGCCCCTTAGGCCGTCACAGCTCACAAGGAAGTCAGGAACCACGTGCGGGAGAACGGCGCCTCCAAACCTGAGATGTATTAAAGCTGGTGCGCTTCCGCTTTGATTCCCCCCCCCCCCCAAAGTCAGGTTCTTGGTCTACCTCGGCATTCGTGAGGTTTTATGCCGGGTGACCGATGAGTATTTAGAAGACATTATTGACTCCTGTAATCCTGATACTCGGGTGGCTGAAGCCGGAGGGAGGATCGCGAGTCACCTGATAACCGAGCTATATACTCAGACCAGAGCTTAGCTCAAGGAAGAACAAAACAAAGAGGCATTATTTGTCAAGTTCCACTTGATGACTAGAGCCCCTAACGTCTTTGGATCTAAGCGTAAAGCGCAGTAGGGAAATCTCGAAGTTTTTTTTCTGTTGTGGAGACAGGGTCCCATGCAGTTCAGGCAAGCCTCAAACGTGCTGTGTAGCAGAAGATGACTTTGAACTCATCCTCCTGCCTCTGCCTCCTGAATGCTGGTTTGCAGGATCGGCCTGCACCTGGTAGAAAACTTTAAGTTCTAGTGTAGAAGGTGAGAGTGTGGTGGTGGAGAGCTGGAGTCTGTACTGTGCAGCTTAACAACTTCTGGAAAATAGTGTGAATAGACTGTGATCTGCATTCAGAGAGAAAGGGACATGTTGGGAGTTCTCCAGAGTTAAAGTGACAGTGAGGTAATCGGACATGTGCTTACTTATCCATTGTCTCAGCATACAGGTGACTTGAGCACATACATTATACTAGGGTGTTAGCCTAAAGTGACCTTTTTTTAATTTTTTTGTTGTTGTTGTTTTGATGAGCTTGTACCATGGCATGTATTATGGTACTCCAACTCTTTCAAGTCTGTTCTCGTTTCTACTGTGGGTTCCCGCTTTTAAACTCAAGTCTCAGACTTTCACAGGAAGTGCTTTTCTCCACCCAGCCTTCTCTTCTGCCCCAAGCAGACTATTGGCAGCTTGATGGTTGTACCCCTAAGGTATTGAAGGCCTACTTCTTTAATTACTGCTCCAATAAATAGAGGTACAGAGTAGGTTCTTGGATCAGGGAGAGCTAGGGGTTTTGAAAGTTTTGTTGCAATGTGAGCTTGCATTTTAAAAATATTTGTTCTTTATGTCCTCAGCCAAAAAAGGAAGAAAAACTTAATCCTGGAGTGATCTATGTGGGCCACCTTCCTCCGGTGCTTTTAGAAACCCAGATCTATGACTATTTCTCCCAGTTTGGTGCTATTAAAAGATTCAGATTGTCCAGAAGCAAACGGGTAAGATCCTTTATGAGCTGAACTTGTGTGTTGTTTTTTCAATATACGTTGTCCTTTGTGAGTATCCAACTTTTTGGCATTGAGACAACAACAACATTGTTAACTTACAAAGTTCACACTCAAGAACTGTGCAGTCAAATTACAAGAAAATAAAGTTGGGCATAATGGCACACCTTTAATCCCAGCACTGGGGAGGCAGAAGCAGACAGGTTTCTGTGAGTTTGAGATCAGCCAGAGTTGCATAGTGAGGCCGTGTCTCAGAAAAGAAAAAGAAATCATGAGGTTGGGGAGATAGTTCAGTCTCTTAACTAGGTCAGTCCCCAGAGCCTAGATTGAAAAAGCCAGATATGGTGATACACATTTGTAATTCAAGTACCAGGGAGCCAGGAGGATCCCTGGGGCTTGCTGATGAGCCAGTTTAGCCCAGCCCAAGGCCAGTGAAGTGATTGTCTCAAAATAGAAGGTGGTCGGGGGTTAGGGAAGTGACTTAGTGGGTAAGGGTGCTTGCACTGCAAGCGTGAGGCTCTGAGTTCTAATCACCAACAGCCATCTAAAAAGCCAGGCGTTGACTCTGTGTGCCTGTAATCCCAGCATGGGGTGGGGGGCAAAGACAAGTGGATCCTGGGAGTTTGCTAGCCAGCCTAGCCAAACAGCATGTTTCCAGTTCATAGTGGAACTGGAAACAGCAAGTTTCCAGTGATAAACCCTATCTCGAGGCAATGAAATGAAGAGCTACAGAGGAATATTCTGTACGTCCTCCAACCTCTGTGCACCCACACATAGGCACAAAAAGCAAGGTGGATGGCCATCCTGAGGAACAGCACCCAAGGTTGACCTCCAGGCAGTACACACACCTGCACCAAAATTTCACATTGAAAGTAAATTTATGGTTTTGTTACGCTGCATTCCTAGTTATCCTGAGACACGTGGGGCAGCAGGTTGGGCATGTTTATGGTGCATGGTCACATGAGATTGTATCGGATGAGATTGTATCGGGCTTCACTCAAGAGAAAGGGGGAGTACAGTTGGGAATTTGAAACAGCCTCAAGAGCAGAACAAGTATCCTTCTAAATGTTCATTTAGTTTAATTCCTCAAGTCCTCAAATTAAATTGCAGTCTTGGTAAGTGAACCATATGATTCTGTAGCTGCTAACCTTAGGGTTAATGACACCAATTTGGTTTATATAAGAAGAAAAGATATGCCTCTATCCTTGAAGTAGTCCTAAAAATACAGGTTTGGATCATGGGATAGGAACTGAATTTTGTGGCATTTTCTCCCAGGGAATCTGTTCTGGGCACTGCTCTTGGTGCTACCAGCTTCTTTCACCCCACTTCCAGCTGACTCAGAATTCTTTCCTTCTTGGGGACCCCCCTGCTGGCTGCCTCTCCTGGTTCACTGGGCATTTCCTCTTTGGGAGAAGGCTTCTCTTGGGAAGATTTGTGTTGTCACTAGCTGTCTCTACACAGCTCCTGCTTGCTGATGCTGAGGCAGCCCTGGCTTCTTTCTTTCTTCAAGCATTGCTTCTGTTTCTTCAGCTTCCTGTGCTTGAGCCATTGCTTCCTTCATGGCATCTTGATTCTTCCGTGGAATCTCCTCAGTCTCGTAGATAGCCACTCCTCAACGTGTTCTTCCCAAATACACTTATGGGCACCTTGAAGCGCTTGATCAATGATGCAATACTGCATTTGTTTGCCAGGTATCAGGAGATGCAGCCTTTGTGGTGCTCAACCAGTGAAGGTGCAATGGGAAATGAGTGTTTTATGTGTTACCCTTGTTTTCCAGGCTGTGGAAACTGGGTTCCTTTGTTGACTGTTGAGAATGGCTCAGGCACTCTGACTGGCCATCACTCCCATAGCAGAGGCCTGCATATGTCAGCAGGTTTTTGATTTTATACTATCTAAACAACATTAAAAGGAGGGGTTTAGTAGGGTTTTTTTCCTCTTTTTGTATTTTCATTTATTTATTTATATTTGGTATTTTTGAGACAGGGTCTCCCTGTAGCTCCAGCTGGCCTGGAACTCGCCATATAGACCATGCTAGCCTCAAACTCACATAGATCTACCTGCCTTTGCCTCCCAAGTGCTGGGATTAAAGGCATGCGCCACCATGCCCAGCCTCCTCTTTTTATTTGAGACAGGGTCTAACTGTAGCCCTGGCTATCCCAAACTTACTGTTAAAAGACATGTACCACTATGTCCTGCTCCTGTCTAAAATTTTTAGATTTGGGAGCTGGAGAGATGGCTCAGCAGTTAAGAACACTGGCTATTCTTGCAGAAGACCTGGGTTCGAATCCCAGCACCCACATGGCAGCTAACTCCAGTTCCAGGGGATCTGACAGCCTCTTCTGTCCTCCACAGGCATTGCACGACACGGGTGCACTTATCTACATGTCGGCAGTACACACATACACATAAAAATAGTAAATAAAATATCTTTTTTTTTTTTTTAACTGTAAAATTTTTAGATTCATGTATATATGTCTGTGTCCTTTGTGTGAGTGAATTCCACATGTAGCCTCCTGAGTGCTGGGATTAAAGGTATTCACCACTAGGCCTGGCTCTAAAAGAAGAAAATGGTGGTAGCATTGAGTACTTGACGTGTTGTTGAGCTGTTGTAGATTATTCATATTTTCTTAGCAACTTTATGAGGGTGATGGGTTTGTTATCCTCATTCCATGGAATGAAAAGCAGAGGCTCACATGTTACTAACCCTAGTTAAGTGTCAGCGCCAGGATCCAAATCCAGGCTACACTTATTATTGAATACTATAACGTATACTACACTTATTACTAAGATAGGTAAGGAAATCCACTTATGAGGTTGGTACTGAGGTTAGGAACTTGACTAAGCATTTCAGAGAATGCTGGCACTGTCCTTTGTTCTGGCTATAAGAGTCAGTACCCGAGGGGGTTGGTAGCATAGTGTCACTGAAGTTGATTGTTTCTTAACATGTGTCTAGTACTGGGAATGGAACCCAGGGCCTTGTTCATGCCAGGAGAGCATTGAGCCGCATCCCTATGTTGAGGTCTTACTAAGTTACCCAGACTAGCCTCAGACTCAAAAGATCAACAGTTTATCCTGCCCCATCCTCTCACACAGCAGGTGTGCCACCATGCCCAGCCTGCCTGCATTTTTTAATGGAAACATTCTCTCTGAGATGTGTTACGATACGTGATGATTAAGGCTCCAGTGAAATGAGAGTATGGGTCAAGGGCTGTGGGAGCCTAAAAGATGGCCTTTGTATGGTGGGACATCCTGGAGAATAAATTCCAGCCAGAGTAATCTCGTACTTGTTATAGCTAACCAGAAATTCAAGAACAGTGCATTGGGTATTCATTCGGGACTACTTTGGATGTTCAGAATGTGAGAGCTGGAGTTGGAACTTAAGTAGTGTAGCACTGTGACTGTGAAGGAGGCTGTTGAGAGTAGTTAGGAGCTTGGTGGCCTGTTAGGTATAACTGTTCTTTGGGTTTTCTGTTGCAGACTGGAAACAGCAGGGGCTACGCCTTTTTGGAGTTTGAGTCTGAGGATGTCGCCAAGATAGTTGCTGAAACAATGAACAACTACCTCTTTGGTGAAAGACTTCTAGTGTGTAAGTGCTCTGACCTTCAGCGTAAGGGCTGCTCGTGTGCCCACATGGAACTGGGCAGGTTCTTTGGGGGTGGGGGAAGAATGTTGCATCCTTAATGGTGAAGGAAAAGGCTTCCCTAAGGAAGTACTGAAATTGAAAATTGAAGATTAAACAGCCATGAGCCAGGTAAAGGGGTGGGAGTTAAGGCCGAGATCATCTCTTGCCAAGTGGATGGTAAATGCCAAACCAGGGATGACTAACATTTTGTTGTCAGGGAATGTGAGAGAGAGCAGGGATGAAGAAGAAATAGGCTGTGGATTGAATTTTAGATTTCTGAGGCCTGCATGCAGCCAATTAGTGGAGTCTAAATAGGATAACACCAAAGGTAAGGAATCAGATTTCAAAATCTGACTAAATGACATTGCCAGCAGTGCTGGATGCCAGCCTAGCTGCAGGTTCAGTGGGAAGACCCTGTCTCAAGGGAATAAGGTGGAAGATCGTAGAACAGAAAACCAGATGTCCTCTACTGCACAGACACACAAATCTACATACATGCATGGGCATTCACATGTATACACTGGAAAAATTGATCCCACAGCAAATAGAAATCAGCAAGTAGAGCCACTGACTCTTGTGTCCTCACAGCACCAATAGCTTCACTAGCCAGATCTCATTGTCCTCCAAAGGCTGGGCTGAGTTTCTTGTCCACTTATACCTGTGGCAGAGTGTGCCCTTCTTGGGTAATTAGTTCACAAGTTAACAGGCTACCCAGCAACATCTCTTTCCCAACTTTCTTCACTTGAGACACACTGGTGGCCTGAGGGGGGTTCTGTGTTCAGTTGAAAGCCTGGCTCCTGCCAAGAGGAAGCAGCTAGGCAGAAATCTCAGGGTGCTGCTCATCAGTGCTGTGCTGTGACTGACTTTGCTTGTAGGAATATCTCAGAAACGGCTCTGTATTCTACAAAGTTTTGTGACTGTCTGAAATTATTAGCTAATCCTACTAGGCTAGAATGGGCTTTTCTGGGGCTGGAGTGTAGCTCAATTGGTAGAATGCTTTCCTAGCATGCTTGAAGCTTCAGGTTCCATCCCCAGCACCACATTAGTAGGACGTGATGGCACAGGACTTTTAATTCCTGCATTTAAGAGGTAGAGGCAGGATCTGAAGTTCTAGTTCATTCTTGGCAACATATGGTAAAGCCAGCCAACATGGGCTACATAAGACTGTTTGAAAAAGAGAGGTGGCTCAGCAGATAAAGGTGCTGTAAACGGTCCAGGGCTCTTAAATGATCCAGTGTGTCTATGGATGGAGGCAGAATATCTGTCCGTCTGCTAAAGCTGTAAGTGGAAGATAATCAAAGAGCAAGACTAGCAACCTGAGTTTGATTCCTGTAACCCAAATAAAGGTGGAAGGAGACAACTGATGTCACAGAATTGTCCTCTGGCTTCCACATGTACATCTGAGCATGTGCACTCACATAATAATTGTAATCTTTTAAAACTTTTTAAAGAAAAGGCTTTACCATTCTGCTTCATAGTTAGCTCGTACTTATTATCAGAAAGTTTTACTATGGGAAAATCCTGAAACTAAATGATCCTAACCAGGTGTGGTGGCACATGCCTTTAGTCCCAGGGAGGCAGAGGCAGGTGGATCTCTGAGTTCAAGGACAGCTGGGGCTACAGGGAGACCCTGTCTCAAGATTTAAAAAAAAACATCCTTTCGTACTTGTTTTGGGGGGTTTTTTGGTGCTGGGATTAAAGGCATGTGCCACCACGCCCAGATTTCTGTTTTTGTTTTTTTTAATAGGTCATTTTATGCCACCCGAAAAAGTCCATGAAGAACTTTTTAAGGAGTGGAACGTTCCATTTCATCAGCCATCATTTCCAGCAGTAAAACGGTATAATCAGAATCGGAAATTTCTGCAAAGGTTGCGGATGGAAGAGCGATTTAAGAAGAAAGAAAAATTACTGAGAAAGAGATTAGCTGAGAAGGGAATAGATTATAGTTTTCCTTCATTGGTAAATATCCTCTCATGGGATTTTCTTGGTGGTTTTTCTTAGGGATGGGTTTCACATCCATGTGTCTATGTGATTATTTGTGTAGCATCTAGCTCAGTGCTTCTCATGTGCTAGGGTTTTTGTTTGTTTTGTGTGTATGTGGCTCTTTCAATTGGTTGACTTCTGCTGGATTCCACATGTGCTAGACAAGTGCCCTAGTGCTAAACTACTCCCTCCCACCCCACATTCTACAAGTAAGGTTTTTGCTAAAAGTAGAACAGTGCATTTTAGATTTTTATGTTTTATAGTGTTAGGAATGGAACCCTTGGCATCAAGCATGCTAGGCAGACATCCTGCCACTGAGATACAGCCCTCTGCCCACCACTGTTTAGAGACCAGGTCTTATTAAATTGCCCAGGCTGGTTTGAGTTACACTAAACCAGACAAGCCCTGAACATGGATCCTCCTAAGATAAATGGGTTTAGATGGACTTCTGCATCATGCAGGATTTTTTTTTTTTTTATGACACGGTCTCATGTATCCCAGACTGGCCTCAAACTTGCTATTTAGCTGAGGTTGGCATAGAGCTTCTCATCCTGAGTGCTGGGATTGCAGGTGTATATGACCATGCCAGGTTTATGCAGTCCTAGGGTTTGAACCTTGGGGCTTGGGCATGGGGTGTGCTTGGCAGGTACCTTTATACCAGCTGAGCTACATCCTCAGGTGCCCCCCCCCAAAAAAAAGTGCTCTTCTCTTGCCTGCCTTTTTTTTTTTTTTTTTTATTTTTTTTTTTTTTTTTTTTTTTAGTCTGTGTGTAGGTGGGTGTACCTGTGTCATGCAGTGCCTGGGAGGTCAGAAGAAGGCTTCAGATCCCCTGGAACTAGAGTTACAGACAGCTGTTAACTGCCATGTGGGTGCTAGGACTAGAACCTGGATCCTCTACAAGAGCTGTTAGTGTTCTTAACCACTGAGCCATGTCTCCAGCCCTCCCCCTTCCTTTGTTTTTTAAGATAGGGTCTTGCTGTGTAATCCACAGTGGCCACAAACTCCTGCCTCAGCCTCCTATGTATTGTGATTATAGACATGCACCATCACACCTGGATTATATCAAAGCTTTGCCCCTGGTTACATGTGAACTGTTTGGTAGATGGACATTAAAGCTTAAAATATAGGCATTCAGCTACAGTATACACATGTGGTTGGTAAATTGGAAAATTATTGAAGTCTTAATATTTATTTCCAGGTTTTACCTAAACCCAAAAAAGAGATTCCAAGCATAGCTAAGGAGAAAGAAGTTTCGAAAGGTACTGCTAACACACCTGAACAGTCTGTGGATAACCAGGTGAGGTCATTGTAAAAAGAAAGCCAATGTCTGCCATGTTTTATTAATACTGCATTTGATAGAGAAGTGTTGTTTGGGGGGTTTTAATCTTTTTTTTTTAATGTGTATGATGTTTTCCATATGTATATTGAGTGTACCATGTGCACACAGTGCACATGGAAGCCAGGAGAGGAAGTCAGATCTCCTAGAACAGGAGTTCCAGATGGTTGTTAGCTGCCATTTGGGTGCTGGGAACCAAACCTGGATCCTCTCTTAGAGCAGCCAGTGCCCTTAGCTGCTCTACTGTCTCTCCACACCTAACATTTTAGATTTTTTGTTTTTTTGAGACGGGGTCTCCCTGCAGTTCCAACTGGCCTGGAACTCACAGAGATACTCCTGCCTCTGCCTCACATGTGCTGGGATTAAAGGTGTGCCACCACCATGCCCGGCCTTGTTTCATGTTCTTTTAAAATGGAAATATTCCTAAAATCTTTGTCAAAATTAGCATCAGTTCTCTTGATTTATTATAAATGCATAGGGTGGGGGCTGGAGAGATGACTGAGCAGTTGAGAGCACTGACTGCTCTTGGAGAGGACCCAAGTTCGAATCCCAGCATCCACATGGCAGTTAGCAACTGTCTGTAACTCCAGTTCCAGAGGATCCAATGCCCTCTTCTGACCTATGCAGGCAATACACTCAAACACATAAAATGAAAAAAATAATAAACACATATGTTGGAACAAAGCGATCCTATGTACAGAAAGATGAGTTAGAGCTATTCATCCAGTTCTAACTTCCTTGCTAGTGAGGAAATAAGAATGGGAGGAGAGACTTTTTCCAATCTCTGTTACAATAATGAGCACTAGATCTTTCACTATAAAACAAAAACATGGGTCATTAATTAGAGCAGGTAGGTTCTTGACTGAATGTTTTGGTCTTCCATAGAACCTATCAGTTTATATTTCTAAAACATTAATTAACTAGTAAGAGATGGAATTTATTCCCAGGCCTGTTGGGTCTTGCTCCAAAACTAGAGGTCTGAGTTAATTTCTTTTCCTACACTTCTTGGTAGGTAGGTAACCTTCTGCCAGATACAGACCCAGTTGCAGTCTTCTGGGAGCATTATGTCAAGACTTTTTTTTTTTTTTTTTTTTTTTTTTTTAAAAAAAAAAAAAAAAAAAAAAAAAAGAGGACGATAAATCTTTCACTGTGATATATCAAAATAA